TTGTCGGCTCGGCGGGATAGTCTGGACGCTCCCCTGCCGACATCAAAGGGAGCTGTCGACAACCCAGGTATGCCTGATCAGCTGTTTGTCGGCTCAACGCGGCAGCCATGTAAATGTAAATGAAGCGGCGATTATTTAAATCGCCGCTTCATTTTACTCTGTCGGGTAGCCTAATCTACATGCCTCTGTCGCCAGAGGCATGTAGTCTAGACGTACCCGATGATTGCTTGTTCGGTTCATTCCCTGTGGGGCACCTGGCATTGGCCACTATCTGAAGACAAACACTGAAAGAGATGTATTTTTGGTCTGACCTAGAATGGTCCTCTTATATTCTTATGCAAGATGCTTTTAATGCCAATTGTGGAAGCAGTTTTTAAAAAAATATGGACTAGATAGAGACTCTCAAATTATTTCATGCTGGCTATGAAAACACTTGTCAGAGAGCACCAGATTTTGGTGGCTACAGACCTGATAATATTTGAACAAAGACAATTAACCCATTACCACATGAGTTACCATGTTGCAATTATGTGCAAGCAAGATACTGATCACTGAGAGGTCTGTCTACATTACCAAGTTTTGTTGAGGAAACTAATGTCAACAAGCTAAAGCAGATAAGTAGATGAAATTAAGTGGATTTATTACTATTTTACATGTTTCATGTTTAATTCTTTTTTCTTTTTATAAGATAACAGATATATTAGTTTTTAAATGTTGACGTTTTGCATTAGTGAACACAACAAGTCTTAAATTAAAGGATTTTGCTATTCTGGACTCTGTACATGAGCATGACAAATATGAGAGACCAGCTATATCTAGACTACAAGCTTCTTTCAGAAGAATCTTTTCCGAAAGAGATCTTCTGAAAAAACTTCTTCCGAACGAGTGCATCCACACTCTCAAAGCACATTGAAAAAGCAATCTGCTTTTTCGACAAATAGAGTCTACACTGAATGGATGCTCTCTCACATTTAAGCTGTGATTACTATGGATGCAGTGGTCACCAGGGCACCTGTGCTTTTTCCTCTTTCCTCTTCTTTCAAAAGAACTCCCACTTCCATGTCCACACACACCTTTTTCCAAAAGAGCTCTTTCGGAAAAAGGCTTCTTCCTTGAAGAAAGAGGTTTACCAATGGCTGAAAACCCCTCTGTTCGTTCAATTTTTTTTGAAAGAACGCAATTGCAGTGTAGACGTAAGTGAAGTTATTTTTGGAAAAATGGCTGTTTTCCTGAAAAAACTCTGTAGTGTAGATGTACCCCAAGTCTACTTGACTGCAGCCCTGGAGTAATGAAAGTCAAGTGTCTCTCAAATGCATACAATTCAGCTGACTAACTGAAATCCTATTTCTAAGCCAGAAAAAAAAAGATAGGACTATGTAGCACTTTAAAGACTAACAACATGGTTTATTATCGGCACATGATTGCATAAATTATATTTCTGGATGCGCAGGAATATGTGTTCTTGATCTTATAACTCACTTGGTTGGGTCCAATAATGGTATCAGCAGAGTGAATATGTGAACAAAGCTGGCAACGGGGTTTGTTGCAAGGGGAGGTACCAGGGTTGGTATTGGTGTGGTATGTCCTGTGGGTGCTGGTAAGAATCATCTTGAGGTTAGGTGGTTGTCTATAGGAGACTATGGGTCTGTCTCCCAGAGCCTCTCAGAGTTTAGTATCCTGTTCCAGTATAGGCTGTAGTTTATTGATAATGTGTTGGACAGGTTTAAGTTGGGGGTTGTAGGTGATGACACACCACTTCTGAAATTTGATTTGTCCTTTTCATATGTGTTCATTTTTTTAATTGTATCCTTTGGTATATATGGTTGTGACAATTTTCTTCCACTATTTGATCTGAGGAAGTGGGTTTGGCCCACGAAAGCTCATCACCTAATAAATCATCTTGTTAGTCTTTAAAATGCTACATAGTCCTGTTTTTTGTTTCAGCTACATCAGACTAACACGGCTACATTTCTATCACTATTCAGAAAAGAAAAGCTCATTCCAACCTGAAGTAACAATATTAAAAAGGAATTATCTGAGTTCTACTGCTTCAGGGGGTAGCTGAGTTAGTCTGTATAGAATAAACTTAAAAAACAAAAACTGGTCTGGTAGCACTTTATAGACTAACAAAACATATAGTTAAACAGATTCCTTTTTTCTGATGCTTCCTCTCTTTTAGAAGTGCTAATTTAATGGCTTTCTGGTATGCCACATCACAGCTCTCATGGGCAAATTCCAGGAAAATTGTTAAGGTGTCAGTGTGTTACAACCATGTGTGGGTGAACTCCATCAAAGCAATAGCACCAGGGAACTTAATGGCCATGCTGTATTTTAATTAAAATGCATAAAAACCACAAGATACCTGCAGGAGCCTTTGTAACCTCTGTCTAGTCATGGTCCATGGAAAACTCATTGTGCTCAAAATTTGACCCTTTGTTCATTAGAATTAAGAGAATTTATTGATCCTGCTCTGATTAGGATAGGATCATAATCACTTTTGGAATGCAATGTTGTGCTGCAGCTTTCTGTAATGCAATGAAGATGACTATTTCCATGATTAGTATCTAGCAAACCCTACAAGAACCAAAGATGAAAATGTATACCCACAGTTGTATTTCCTCCCAGATTAGGGATTATTCATATTTGACATTTTGATTCAAACCCATTATAAAGTCAACATCAATGTTTTAATGAAGTCCCCCAGAGTAAAAGGTGTTCAAGTCTAGGTTCTGGAACATACACATGCCTTATAACAAAAAATCTTAATTACCACAAAGAAGGAAAAGTTTCAAATGGAAGATGACATTGTTCCATACCTACTGCTCCAATAAGACACATGATGAACAGAAGCCCCACACAAAAGAAAATATGAATGTTCATGCGCCGTTCCATCTTGCTACGTTTGTAACGAGGCCCATTGTTATTCAGCATGGCCTTGGTTTCATGACCTTCAGAAACACAATTGGAGACAGCTTAATTTATTTAGTTTCTTAGAATATTTTTGGGGAAGAGACAGGGTTAATACATAACTATACTTAACATGCTGGTGCCCCAAAATCTTCACTTGACTCCAAGCATTTCATTGGAGGAGTTTCAGAAGGGAGAGATGTCAGAGCTGAAGGGTGACAGGAAGACAGGGAGCGTTTCCCTGTTTTCACCTGGCATTATTTGCCAGGAAGAAGCATTCCTCTGCCCATAGCAAAATCCACAGCAAAAGCATGTCAGCAGGTTATTTTACCTGAATAGTCTAGTGGGGCACCAACCTATCACACGCCCTCCAGGTCACTGCTCTAGACATTCACATGTATACTAAACCGATGTATTTATGCAGTAAATTCAAGGACTCCAATTATCATTTACACTAAGGTCCCATAAGAAAGCCACTTACAAGGGAACTCCCTGACCAGCCTAAAGTATATGCCAGTGTTATCCCAGTTCCTGAAATATAAGGTATGTGAAGGGCTAACTGAAGTTGTGCCTGGAGTGAAATGACAAATGAGCAATGGCTAATGACTGGCTCCCAGAGACTACAGAAAGCAGAGCATATATAAGGGGACTTAACTTACACCAGAGCCAGGCAGGCCTCTCCTTCTTTAGAACTGCAGGCTCACAAGGGTGACTTAAAATGTCACTTTTCCTTTCCACCCTCACTTCCTACCTAAAGCGCTTCATTCCCATAACTGAGAATTAGAGCCAAAAATTTGAATCCTGCTTTAAAATGCAAATATTATAATGCAACCTTAACTATGGAGTTTCTTCTGACATCTTCACAGTATTCACAGTATACACACACTATAAAATGTACATGTTTAACTATAAACAGAAGATAGACAAACTTTTAACACTAAGAATTTCTCTGAGACAGACATTAGGGGGAGCATGTTTCACATTAGAGTCAAGCTTTACAAGGATGAGAAGGAAGTAAAGCCTCCAATTACGTCTGGAAGGGTTCCAAAAAAAGAATTACATTACAGATTTCAGCTGTCCCAAACACTTCACTCTCACAAGGGCAGCAGAGTCAGCAGGATCACAAGCTTTGTACCAAGATTTGAAGGTTTGGGGAAGCTTGAATGAGTTTCTACTTAACAGCTAAATTTGCTTGATGTGAAAAGGAAGTAAAATAAGATTTGTAAAATGCATGCATCTTACACAAAAAGTTAATATACATTTTATACAATATACACATTTTGTTTTACTTCCTTAGACCTATATTTATATCTATATAGAAATAAAAACCTTGCTTAGACTGGCTTACTACATTTAAGTATCTCAGCAGATAAACTAATTTAATTAGAAGCTGCTAATCAAACTTGCCATGTGTGAACTTTACAGAAAACCCAGTATCTCAGATCCAGAAGTGAATGGTTTTAATGTTCTTTAGCTCTGCACTATATAACTGTAAATTACAAACAACACAGTAGAATAGAAAAATATTAAACTTCTTAAATGTGAATCCAGTTAAGTGTGTAATGGAAATAAGAGACTAGTTTAGGAAGTGATAACATGAAGAGGAAGTGATCTGAGTGGTCTAGTTGTATCTCTAATGCTGTTGATGTTCCATGTTGTAGCCCGAATGCATATTGCACAACATCTAATATCGCTATTTGTTACTATTTCTGTAGTGCCTAGAGTCCCCACTCAAGACCCCACTGTGATAGATGTTTCCCATTCCCACAGAAACACCTCCCTGATCCCAAAGACCATAAAATCTAAATAAATATCTCAGCAAGCTCAGAGTGAAAATTTGTGGCAGGCTAAAAGTACAAACTAGATGTCTGAAATAAAATATATTTCTAGGCCCTTTCCATAAATGAACAAGCTGTTTAGCTCACTCCCTTGCATAGATTCTAGGTGAAGCTGCTGCTTGAGGAGGCAAGTATCCCAGCCTCTGACCATGCCGGTACTCCACCCCTGCTCTGCCCTTGCCCTGCCTCTCTGTCTCTGCTCACCCATTCCAGCCAAACTCCTGAACCCAATGGTAACAAATTACATTTGGGGAAAAAAAACCCTCTCTCTGAAATGTCTTTCTAAAGACAAGGAGCATGTTTTCCACTGTATGCCAGATTGTAAAGACTGGACATGCAGAAGGTACCTAATTAAAAGAAACACATCTGGGAATAAAAAAATGTCAGTAACAGTTTTTTTGATATGCTCTGAAGTTTATCAGAGATTTATTTGCAAAACCTTGGCAGTAAGGGCAAGTCAGTTGTCCTGATGAATACAACATTATATATTATGGAATACATGATGCAGCCTTTCTGTGTTTTACATTTTCTTCATCAGTATTTCTAAGCTGATTTTATATTTTAAATATACTTTTAAGTCTTCATAAAGCAATCATTTCAGATTACTACAAGTGAAACAAAGACTTATTTTAAATGAGTTAGGGTGGTTTAGTGTGTTCAAAACAAATTTTGCTGCTTTTAGAAAAAAGGGAACACTGATTTATTATGTGTGATTTTCATAAAAAATGTGTTTATGAAATTTCACTATATGTTTGTGTTAAAATGTTTCCAAAGAAGCCTCTGCATTCCTTATTCCATGAAGAATAAGGGGGCTTCTGAAAGAGGGGTTTTTTTTCAGACATTAAGGCCTGTTTAGACAGAGAGCATTTTGCGTAGCTTTTACCGAAAAAAGCAGCAGTGTAGACCTAGCCTCAGGGAACTGATGGGAAGGATCTAACATTAGGGCGAAAGGAGTTCAGGTGATCTGGCTGTATTTTAAAGAAGCTTTATTGAAGGCACAGGAACACACCATCCTGATGTGCAGTAAGAAAAGAAAATATGGGAGGTGACCAGATTGGCTTAACAGTGCAATCATTGGAGAGAGTAAACACAAAGTAAATTTACAAGAAGGGGGAACTTTGACAGATGACTAGGGAATAGTGTAAATATATTACTCAAGCATGCAGTGGTGTAATCAGGAAGGCCAAAGTGCAATTGGAATTGCAGCTAGCAAGGAATGTGAAGGGTAACAAGAAAGGTTTCTACAGGCATGTTAGCAATAAGAGGGTGATCAGAGAGGGTGTGGGGCCTTTACTGGATGAGGGAGGTAACCTAGTGTCAGATGATGTGGGAAAAATAGAAGTACTCAATGCTTTTTTTGCCTCTGTCTTCACAGACAAGCTCAGCTCCTGGACTGGTGCCCTGGGCAGCACAGTCTGGGGAGTAGGTGGGAAGCCCTTAGTGGAGAAAGAACAAGCTATTTAGAAAAGGTGGGCATACACAGATACATGGGGCTGAATCTAAGGCATCCGAGGGTGCTGAGAGGGTTGGCTGATGTGACTGCAGAGCCATTGGCCATTATCTTTGAAAACTCATGGTGATTTGGGGAGGTAATCAGGGGAAGGCCAATTGGAAAAAGGCAAATGTTGTGCTCATCTTTAAAAAAAGGAACAAGGAAAATTACTGGGAATTACAAACTGGTCAGCCTCATCTTAGTTCCTGGAAAAATCATGGAGGGGATCATGGAATCCATTGTGATGCACTTGGAGGAGAGAAAAGGGTCAGGAATAGTCAACATGGATTCACCAAGGGCAAGTCATGATCAACTCTGTTGCCTTTTATGATGAGGTAACTGGCTCTGTGGATAAGGGGAAGATGGTGAACATGATATATCTTGACTTTAGCAAGGTATTCTTGTCAGCAAGCTAAGGAAGTATGGCTTGGATAAATGGACTGTAACGTGGCTAGAAAACTGGCTAGAGCATCAGACTCAATAGGTAGTGATCAATAGCTCCATGTCTGGTTGGCAGTCAGTATCAAAGATGTGGAGATAGTCTAGCAGAGGGCAACAAAAATGAGTAGGGGGCTGTAGCACGTGACTTACGAGGAGAAGCTAAGGGATCTGGGCTTATTTAATCAACAGACGAGTGAGGGGGAATTTGATAGCAGCCTTCAATTACCTGAGGGGGATTCCAAAGGCTGTTCTCAGTGATCCTAGATGACAAAACAAGGAGCATTGGTCTCAAGTTGCAGTTGGGGAAACCTAAGTTGGGTATTAGGAAAACTATTTCACTAGGAGAGTGGTGAAGTACTGGAATGGGTTACCTAGGGTGGTGGTGGAATCTCCATCCCTAGAGTGTAAGGCAGGAATATCAAGATGCAGATTTATTTGAATGTAAGTGCAAAGGTCTAATGCATGTCACCCTGTAAACATCTGTAAAATACAAAGGACTGTGTTATATATATGTATATTAATTCTCGTAGTAAAATGCCTGTATATCTGAAATATTTGGAAATTTGCAATGTCTCAAAATGGAGTCTAAAACTCCATTTTGAATTTGGAATGCCTCTTGTACCATCCATTAAGGTCCAACATTCTGTCACATCCACAGGTGACTGTTAAAGTTTAAAACATCATTCACCTGTCAGGTATCATTTACATAATCCATTCATAAGCATTCCCACTATCCAATCAGTTTGTACCACGCCCAAGGTGCATCATTTGGCAGCCAATCGTTTTAAACCATTGCAGTTCATGCATATGCATGAGCGGAGGATATAAAAGCCCTTCCCTAGCATCAGTTCGTTCTGTTTCGTTGGGCTTAACCCGGGATCAGGGCGTCGCTCGTTCATCGGGAATAGGTTTAGATGAGCGAAAGAGAGTGAAAGAGGTCTTCTACAGCCTATAATGCTTATAATGGTACTCTAGGTATCTTTCTTTTCCTTCAACGAGTCTGACGGAAGGTCAGTTCTACTAATTAGATTATTTAGTTAGTTTAGGTAAGGTTAGATAGGTAGATCTCGTCATCGTGTCTGTACGTCAGGCTGCGTCGATCCACGCATGTCGGCCGTCGTCGAGTCTGTACGTTGGGTGCGTCGAGATTAGTATAGGGTTTTTATTTTAGGTTAAGGTTAGGATAGGGTTAGGATAGAGTCTAGCTTCCATCGCCTGTTCCGGTTGCTACCGAAGCGCGAGAAGAGTATCCAGAGACCAGAGGCTTCACGGAAGGTGAACCGACCGTCACCGAACTCAACCCGTACTTCGAGGGATCACCTTGGTTGTTCCTCTCCTGAGGCTTCCAATTAGCCAAAGGATTGTAGGTTGCCAAGCAACAGGATCATCCAAGAAGGGACACCTGGTAGTTCCTGCCTGAAGGCTTTCAATTAGCCCGAGGGTCGTAGGTCGCCAGCATCACATCAATCCCCCCTTCTCGCCGCAGACTCTGTTGTAGGTATAAGGACCTTAAGGGACTTCCCCTTCTGGTCTATTGTTAGTGTAAAACGGGGACTGCCCCCGATGTTATCTCGAGGTATCTCTGTTGTAGATTTTATTTTTGTTTAATATAGTCTTGTGGTTGTCAGTTTAAAACCCAGACTTAAGTTTTTATTTCAACGCGCCACACACTCTACCCGGTGATTAGATATGGGAGGAGAGGGTCCCATCCTGATATACCATCCCCAAGCGGATCGGTCGGGATATTAAATTATCTCTTTGGGAAAAGTCCTTAAACACCCTTGACATTTCCTTATTCTGTTCGACAAACAGGTAACAAGAGGTTTTTAAGTCTCAGCTTAACAAAGTCCTAGCTGGGATGATTTTAATTGGGATTGGTCCTGCTTTTAGCAGGGGGTTGGAATCATGGCCAGTGCTTCCACTTTTTCAACCTAGTTTATTTCTATAAACCATCACTTCTTAAAATAAAATATCACAGTTCAATATCAGACTCTACGTATTCTTTTTGTAAGATATTTTAAGAGCAACTCCATGCTTAGCTAAAAGAAAAGGTAAAAAAGGGAGTTGTTACCTGCATAAATGACAATTCCAACTGCAATCTCTGTATTTCTGATTGTGCAGCCACGAAGCAAAAGACTTTCACTGCCAAAACCAATCCGTTTCTGATCTGGCTGCTCACTACAAAGAAGAAAATAAATTATGGTTTACATTTTTGTTCTATTCTGTGCATTTTTTTCTTTCAGGTTTGAATCAACAAATTTTAAGAACTAAGAAGTGTGTTCCACCATATCCGGCTTCTGTCAAAAGATGCACATTGGAGGGCTACGTCTACACTGGCATGATTTTCCGGAAATGCTTTTAACGGAAAAGTTTTCCGTTAAAAGCATTTTCGGAAAGGCACGTCTAGATTGGCAGGACACTTTTCCGCAAAAGCACTTTTTCCGGAAAAGCGTCCGTGGCCAATCTAGACGCACTTTTCCGCAAAAAAGCCCCGATGGTCATTTTCGCGATCAGAGCTTTTTTGTGGAAAACACTACTGTGTTGTCTACACTGGCCCTTTTCCGGAACAGTTTTCTGGAAAGAGACTTTTGCCCAAACGGGAGCAGCATAGTTTTTCCGGAAAAGCCCTGATGATTTTACATTAGATTGTCAGTGCTTTTCCAGAAATTCAAGTGGCCAGTGTAGACAGCTGGCAAGTTTTTCCGGAAAAGCGGCTGATTTTCCGGAATAACTTGCCAGTATAGACACAGCCGAGGGTGTATAGATGTCTTTGTATCTTGTAATATATAACCTGTTTATATGGACTAAAACATCAAAATTTAAACCTGAATATATAATTTATGTGATTGGAGCCACTGATTCTGTACAGATTTAGTATTTCATAAATGGGGATAAGAGAAACTGTACAATTTAACTCAGGATTCAGATGAAATTATTAAAGAAATCTTAAAGATGTTCTCTCTGGTACTAATGGTTAAGATTAATAGATTTTATCATATTGTGGAGACAGTTTAACACATACTACCATCAGTGTTCCCTCTAAGCTGATTGGACGCACAGCTTTGCAGCTGATTAATCAGCCCCACCTAGTCAGAGGCTCAGGACTGTGCATGGAACTGACTATCTAGAAGTGAAGTGGGGCTGATTAATCACCTGTGAAGCTGTGCTGCCACACAGCTTAGAAGAAACACTGACCACCATGTGCATATCCTTTGTCTGCAGTGGTTATCATTCATGGGGTCATCTCTATGGGCACGTCTAGATTGCCCGCAGCTTTCGAAAGAAGATATGCAAATTCTTGCGGAATTTGCATATCTTCTTCCAACTCCATTTTTGGAAGAGTTTTTTTTTTTTTTTTTTAAGAAAAAGCAGTCTAGATGTGGTTCTTTAAAAAAAACCCACCCTTTTTTGAAAGAACCCTGTACACCTCATTTTTACTGTACACCTCATTTTTATAGGAAGAAGGGATCTTTCGAAAAAGGGTTTTTTTCCCCCATAAGAACCACATCTAGACTGCTTTTCTTTCCAAAAAAACTCTTCCAAAAATGTAATCAGAAAAATATATGCAAATTTGCACCAAATTTGCATATCTTCTTTCGAAAGCTACAGGCAGTCTAGATGTACTCTAAGAGACAACCAGCTGGGAGGAGAAGTTTTTCAAACAACCTTATGAGACTTTTTCCTTCACTATATTATTGATCCCATCATTCTTCCTCCTTTACAGCATCCTAGTTTAGGATGAACAATCACAAAATAGACCTCATTGCTAGTAAGATGGACGATAGTGGAGACATGATTCGTATATTGAGCAAATCACTATGAAGCTGTTTTTTCAGGTAAACATTTCAGTATCAGCCTCTAGGGACTGAACACATCACATTTGCACTGTTACACACCATGCTAAGTCATTGAATTGGGATTTATGATGTAGGTCACTGCTAACCTAGTGAAATAATGTTGCTATTTTAAACATCAGCATTGAACAGGAGGTTCACAAGTGTTCCCGGCTTCCATTTATTTAAAAAAAAAAAACTATATTCAGCTGCACTTCTGTTGGGCCGTGTCCAGACTCAGGGGTTTTTTCGGGAAAAGTAGCCTTTTCCCGAAAAAACTTCCCCTGCGTCCAGACTCAAGCCGCGTTCTTTCGAAATTATTTTGAAAGAACGCGGCTTTTCTTTCGATGGCGGTAAACCTCGTTTCACGAGGAAGAACGCCTTCTTTCGAAAGTTCCTCTTTCGAAAGAAGGCGTTCTTCAATGTAAAGAGGCCGTCTTCGAAAGAGAGCATCCAGACTCGCTGGGTGCTCTCTTTCGAAAAAGCGGATTTCTCTTTCGAAAGATCCGCCTGCAGTCTAGACGCGATCTTTTGAAAGAGGCTCTTTCGAAAGATGGTTTCGAAAGAGCCTCTTTCGAAAGAAGCCTGCAGTCTAGACATAGCCTTGGTTAAGTATGTTATTATTCAGAGATGAGGCCTGTTTATCCACTACCTCACATATGGCATATCACAGACACCTGAGCAAGTGAGTGCAAAGTAAATAAATGAGTGCACTTTCAGTGTCTTCTAGTCAGTTGGCCCATATTATAATGACAGCACAAGGTGCAAGGCAATGAAGAATCAGGTCAGAATGTTTATAGACTTGTTGGGAACCACTTTATCCTCAAGTCTGATGAGCTAGCAAAGTAGCATGTGCTCAGTTTGCAATATAACCCACAAATGGGTTGCAGGGACAGATCTTCACAAGTAGCTTATAGGTGCCCAAAGCATCTTGTTTGCTCACAAAAAAGCAATTTGCATATGAACACTAGGTAGTCAGAATTAAATGCTGCTGATACATACAAATATATTTTTGGAGCAATAAAAGTTTAGTGTACCAAAACTAGTGATGTAGTTGAGGTAACTTGCAAAAAGTGTTATACTGCTGATGTGTTAGTTAAACCGCATTAAAAGTCTTCAGTTATAAAGAACTCCAGTGACCACTTTTTATCCTCATGCAGAGAAGGCACTGATAAGATCATTTCCTAAAAGTCTTGATGTGGCCCATCCCTTTGCTCAGATTTCATTCCAGAAAGGAACACTTTTCTTGGTACAAGTGCTGAAGGATCCAACCAGGGGCCATGTGCAGCTTGACCTTCTCCTCACAAAGAGGAAGGAACTAATAGGGGAAGTAGAGGTGGGTGACAACCTCAGAAGCAGTGATCATGAGATGGTAGCTTTCAGGATCCTGACCAAAGAAGAAAAGAGAGTAGTAAAATACACTCCTTGGACTTCAGAAAAGCAGATTTTGACTCCCTCAGAGATCTGATGGGCAGAATCCCCTGGGATGCTAACATGAAGGGGAAAGGAGTCCAGGACAGCTGGCAGTATTTTAAAGAAGCCTTATTGAAGGCACAGAAAGAAACCATCCCGATGCGTAGCAAGAGAGGCAGACATAGTAGGGGACCGGATTGGCTTACAGGGGAAATCCTTGGTGAACTTAAGCACAAAGAAGAAGCTTACAAAAAGTGGAAACTTGGACAAATGACCAGGGAGGGGTTTAAATGTATAGCTCGAGAATGCCGGGGGATTATCAGGAAGGCGAAAGCGCAATTGGAATTGCGACTGGCAAAGGATGTGAAGGATAACAAGAAAGGTTTCTACAGGCATGTTAATAAGAAGAAGGTGATCAGAGAGGGTGTAGGGCCCCTAATGGATGAAGGAGGTAACCTAGTGACAGAGGATGTGGGGAAAGCTGAAGTACTCAATGCTTTCTTTGCCTCTGTATTCACGGACAAGGTAGGCTCCCGGACTAATGCGCTAAGTGACGCAAGATGGGATGAAGATGGACAGCTCTTGGTGGGTAAAGAACAGGTTAGGAACTATTTAGAAAAGCTAAATGTACACAAATCCAAGGGTCAGCGGTGGATTTAGGGCAGGGTGAGCGGGGCGGCTGCCCCGGGTCCCACGCTTCCCGAGGCCCCGCACATGTGCCGTGTCAAAGTGGGAGCCCCGCGAAATTTCGCTGCTCTGGGCCCCGCGGCACTCTCATCCGCCCCTGCCAAGGGTCCAGACTTAATGCATCCAAGGATACTGTGGGTATGTCTACACTACCCCCCTCGTTCGAACTAGGGGGGTAATGTATGCATACCGAACTTGCTAATGAAGCCTGGGATTTGAATTTCCCAGGCTTCATTAGCATAAAGCCGGCGCCGCCATTTTTAAAAGCCGGCTAGTGCGAACCCCGTGCCGCGCGGCTACACGCGGCACGGACTAGATAGTTCGGATTAGGCTTCGTAATCCGAACTATCTGTACACCTCGTTCCACGAGGCAAGTTCATTAGCAAGTTCGGTATGCATACATTACCCCCCTAGTTCGAACTAGGGGGGTAATGTAGACATACCCTGAGGGAGTTGGCAAATGTCATTGAGGAGCCTTTGGCCATTATCCTTGAAAAGTAGTGGAGATCGGGAGAGATCCTGGATGATTGGAAAAGGGCAAATGTAGTGACCATCTTCAAAAAAGAGAAGAAGGACAATCCAGGGAACTATAGGCTGGTCAGTCTTACCTCGGTTCCTGGAAGAATCATGGAAGGGTTCCTTAAGGAATCCATTTTGAGACACTTGAATGAGAGGAAAGTGATCAGGAATAGTCAGCATGGATTCACAAAGGGCAAGTTGTGCCTAACCAATCTGATTAGCTTCTACGATGAGGTAACTGGCTCTGTGGACATGGGAAAGTCAGTGGATGTGATTTACCTTGACTTTAGCAAGGCTTTTCATATGGTCTCCCAGAATATTCTAGCCAGCAAGATAGGGGAATATGGACTGGATAAATGGACAGTAAGATGAATAAAAAGCTGGCTAGAAGGCCGGACCCAGCGCGTAGTGATCAACAGCAGTCGGTTTCTAGAGGAGTGCCCCAAGGTTCGGTTCTAGGACCGGTTTTGTTCAATATCTTTATTAATGACCTGGATGAGGGGATGGATTGCACCCTCAGCAAGTTTGCAGATGACACTGAGCTAGGGGGAGAGGTAGATACGGTTGAGGGCAGAGATAGGGTCCAGAGTCCTGCACTTGGGACGGAAGAATCCAAAGCATTGTTACAGGCTGGGGACCAACCAGCTAATTAGTAGTTCTGCAGAAAAGAACCTGGGGGTTATAGTGGATGAGAAGCTGGATATGAGTCAACAGTGTGCCCTTGTA